CAGTCTGTAAGGAAGAAGTACTTGCTGCTAGAGTGGATGTGGGCAAGTCTGGAAAGTTTATGCATAAGAATGCAGTGGCATCTGACGGTCAGCTGTTCTTGCTAGATTATTGCCGAAATAGCTGCCCACAAGTTAATTCAAAGTTTCGACATACATTCAGGAATGTGGGCAATCAATCTTTTGTTGGGTTTAGCCCGTGGCTACTCACTGATTAACTTCCCTTGTCTCTTCCTCCCAACCTCCCGCCTACCGGAATTTAATTTAGGACATCTCAGAATTTGTTCTTGCCAGTTGTATATCATGATTTTGGCAGTGGTTTCATGACTGTACACATCTGTCAAAACTCCTCTAATTGTTCACTTGATGGTGAATTTCATTGTATGTAAATAATAAACAAAAATGTGGCTTCCCTTCTCCTCTTTGTACTTATTGAGTTTGAATTCTCTGAAATAGCACTAAAAACTTTCCAAGAATTCTCTTCTGTATTTGCTTTGGACTGGGTTTTGTCTAGGAATTTCTGTTAAACTGATGCCACCCTTTCTAATTTTCCAGCGATAGTACGGATGACAAAACTAAACAGACAAACCAACAACCCAGATCTTTTGATTCTTTCAGGGGCATTAGAATAGGAGACATAAAAACATGCATTTAGCTTGCTAATTCCACAGTTATCTTTTCTCAATGTTTTAGGAGACCAAGGCTTTCCTTGAAAACAGTGCAATTATAAGTGAGTAGGAATGTGACAACCTTGAAGGTGTTGTAGCTGGTAGGAACGGTAACAGGTGCTAGACCAGTGGGGTCAGACTGGACCTGGGTTCAGAAACCTCCATACTTGGGCTCTGCTAGGAAATAATTCAGAGCCAAGACCCAAACTATAAGAGAACATTTATTTGGTAAATCACAGAAGTAGAAGTAATTCCTAGAAGAAATGGGTTTAAGAAACAAGTTATAGAGTTAAAGGAAGGGCCCTTGGAGCTTGGGAGTGAGGAAGCTAATGGTAAGGCACATGGTGGGGGTGGGGGAATGGGAAGGAAAGGGAAAGGCAAAAGCTGGGGCATACTCTCAGGAGGGAGAATGTGCTGGGTAGTCCTAATGGTTTTAAGAATGGAGATTTTAGGGGAGATCCCAGGGGAAGATCTCTATAGAATATTCAGCAGTTTTCCAGGTATGTCCTTTCAGGGTCATGGTCTCTGATTGGTCAGTGCCAGAGCAGCTGGTCCTGAGGTCAGCCATAGGGTCACTTGTCTGGTTTTGCTGCTTTTCTGGACTTGGAGCTGAAATATAACTGAGACCTACATGTTATCTCTAGGGAGGAAAGGTCACCCTGGGGGCGAGGTCCTACCCTACCATTGTTCCCTGCAAGGCACCTGGGGCTTTCCACCCTGGTGACCTTCTGTACTTGTCCCCATAGTCCTTGCTCATGTCTAACTGCCTACCACAAAGGGACAAACCACTTTAAATAATTCAGTTTTCTATTAGGATCACTGTCAATCCTTTTGGTCAACTGCAAAGCTTTGCTTTTTATGTCACTGATCCCTATTACCACTTAGAATGGAGGCAGTTTTTTTTTGTTTTGTTTTACCTGGGATTCTCAAAGTCCTTCAGCTTGACCTTTAAGATGTCAGTGAAACTGGACTGAATTCCTTCCTCTTGTAAGTGGGAATTCTGGTGTCCCTCCCAGTATCTCTGGAAGTACGTGGTAGACTTTTTTTTTCTTCCACTTACCCAAGTCAGTTTCTGTATTCATTTCCTCATTGCATTTAAACTGTTCAGTGTGAAACCCAATGTTCTTTTTGTATCCTGTCAACCCTTCTGGACATTACCCTAATCCCTTTAGTGCCCTAAATGCCACAGACCCAAGCCTGTGTGTAGATTTGAAGGTTGATGATGGTAAGAGAGCTGAGCAACTACCTTACAGCTGAGTATCAGACATGTTTTTTAAAGGTCGGGGCCATTCCTTGCTAGTAGGGAATTTTCACAAATTGTCTATTTAACTTAGCTGCCATTGTTTTACTAATTTTCTGGATATTTCATTTTCTTCCTTTTTTATTTAACTCAGCACTCTCACCACCTCATTCCTATCCTTTAAAAAAAATTCCAATTGATGAATTGAGTGATTCATTAAATTTTTGAATGGGGGTGTTATAAATAATCACTTTAAAAATATTTTATTGATTTCAGAGAGGAAGATACAGAAACTTATTGATTTCAGAGAGGAAGATACAGAAACTGAAAGGGAAGGGCTAGGCCCTCCACCTTGCCCCAGGGTAAGGGCTACGCCCTCCATCTTGCCCCAGGGTAAGTGCTCCATCTTACCTTGGCCACGTGTTTGGCAAGGAGCTTCTTCCCGGAAGTCTAAGTCTCTGCTAGCCACACCCAGGAACAAGACACCGACTTGTGCCTGGCCAATCGGCAGAGCACAGTCCTTTCTCCTCCCCTTACTCCAACTCCCCCTATATAACCCGTCTCCACACAGAGTTATCTCTCTCTGCTTCCTGTCGCTGCGTAGGCAAGGTCGGGGAGCCGAGCTAGCTCGAATAAAGACTCTTATGCTTTTGCATCGGACTGGCTGGCTCCCTGATGTGGTTTCTTGGGGATCCTGAAATCTGGGCATAACAGAAACATCAATGATGAGAGAGAACCATTGATCTGGCACCGATTCGCAACCGGGGCATGTGCCCTGATGGGGAATTGAACTGACCTCCTGATTCATAGGTTGATGCTCAACCACCAAGCCACACCAGCTGGGCACAAATAATCATTCTGTTTGAAGTTTTACCACATGTGGTTAACCAATTCTTGAAAAATAGAAATTGAAAAAGTCTTTGAAGTTCCAGTTTTGAAATTGGAAGTTCTGACTATTCTTAAAATTTGCTGTTCTCTCCACAATGAATAAGCTCTTATAGTAATTTTACATTTAATACAATATTGTATGTATTATACCAAAATTTTTACTGTATTGTATAAACTGTCACCTTGATGTAATGATGTTAAGAGTCCTATTTTCTACTGATACAGCTATTGGTAGGTAGTATGACAAATATTTATCAGGGTCCCAACTGGAAACAGATGACACAAGCCAATTAAGATAAATCAAAGATATTTATTTACAAAGAGGCTGCAGGAGAGGAAGCCACAAGAATTAATGCAGTAACCAGTTAGTAGAAGCGTTCCTAAGGCAGAAAGATAAGGGATGACAGCTATTATCAGTTCTCCAAGTGAGAGAGGAAACCATATTGAGTGGAACCTTTGGGTAAAGGACACAGCCCAACCTCACAGGGAGGGGACCTGGGGGAGAAATACGTTGATCTCTTGTACAGATTCCTCTGTTTTTCTGCTAGGGCTCCTCACTGGCTTAAGCCAACAGGAATCCAGAGAGCAAGGGGAACTCACAGACAAGTACAGGTCTGCCTTTCAGCAGAGTGTGGATATGGAGGGGCAAAATAATAAAAGGATGTGCTGCTTATTTTCATCAGTATTCCCTTAAGTATCGACAAGTTGTTAATGAGGACTCTGGTTGTGGTGACAGAAACTCAACTTGATGCCATTTAAACAACAAAAAAGCGAAAACTAGAGGAACAGTAACAGGGGAGGAGCTAATTTTAAGGAAATAAATGCTATTTATTGGGGTACACACTCTTCCTCATCTCTGCATGTCATGTTGGTTTCTTTTGTAACAAAGTGGGGACTTGGTCTCCAGCAGCACTGAGATGGAATCTTTAGAGCGGTATTATTACCATTGTAACTAGCTAGTTATTAATATTAGTAATAGAAGACAGCAAAGGCCAGGCATTCTAAGCATGGTCATCTGGGCAGCTTCACCAGGAAGTTGTAGGCTTCATACTCTCCAGGGAACTACCAGTCCATTCCCTGCAAATCACTGGAGTAAGGGGTCCAAGGAGGAAGAGGGATGCATGCACAGTGATGCTGGGATGATGTAGCAAAGGTGCCCATCAGTCTAATTCGGGAACAAGGATAACTGGGTAGGGGGTGAAGCCACCCACTACAAGCACACAAAATCTTGGAAGGGTAAAATCCCCCAAAGAAGTCTCTCTCTTGCTGCTTGTGCTCCTGCTTTTCACTTGCTCTGTGACCTGTGCTAGCTCACCATGTGGCCCTAGAAGCAGTTGCCTGGCTCATGCCATGTGGACCTCACATGCAACAGACTGCAGCTGGTAACACAGCTAACCTAGCCAGATGCTGGACTGGATTGGACCTTAATATGGTGTAGAAACACTGGGCAATGACTGTGATTCTAGCCCTGAAGATAAAAATGGGACATTTTCCATGGCAAGATGGAGGGAGATGGGACTTGAAGGGGACTCCCTTAATGTTACCTCAGCAACAAAGCTTTCTACAATACCTCATCCTCCACGGGGACCTTAGTATATTCTTATTCCTGCAGCATCCCAAGAGCTCCATTTCCACCAGCAACAGGTGGGGACAGATAGCACCTCACCAATAACAGTATCATCAGACAAGAGATGAGGCTCATTTTCCAACTCCATAGAGCAAAGTATTGGAGATCTTTACTAAGACATGTAAATGAAGATTTGCATAAATTAGATGGGGAGACTGATCTGAAAAATGTTAATTCTTACCAAATTAATTTATAAGCATGATGCAATCCTAACCCAAATCTCACTTGAAATTTTTGGAAATACGAAAAAATCTAAACTTCATCAAGAATTTGTGGGAATACCAAGATTTTTAAAAGAAACTATCAAAGGCAACTTGCTTAATTATTAAAATGCATTATCAAGTGATTAATTAAATGTAGTTAAAAGTGTTATGTTGTTGGAAGAATGGCAAATTAATTGGACAAAATAGATGTGTGGAGATAGAGGCATAAGTAAAGGAAAGAACCAAAAACTATGGATGGGAATGAATTAACCAATAAGTGGTGTTGGGAAAATTATATGGGGGAGGGAATCATACTAGATCCTTAAATCACATTTTATACCCAAATAACTTCCAAATGAATTAAAGAGAAATAGAAAGAAGAAAAGCATAAAATTTAATGAGATGAATATTTAATCTTGGAATGCAAAGGACTTTTTAAGCATAAAAAGAACTTGACAACATACAAATGTACAACTAAAATGTCAAAAATATTACATGCAAAATTAAAAGACAATTAGCAAAATAGGAAAATACTGAGGCGCTATTACTATATTGTAAAAAATATTTAATATATGTTTACTAAATTGTGTGTTTGACTAAACGTTACTCATCTGAAATCATCAGGGAAAAACAAAACCAATAATTTTAGATATATATAGTAAAAGGTAATACTAATACCTTATTGAAAATAACAAATGGTTTTGATTGTCCATTCATAATTTAGTATAATTTTATTTTCATTATACTTAAAGAAGTTAAAATACACAGAAATAGGCTCATGTATTTTTTCATTTCTAGAAAATTAAATTCCTTATGATCAGAAGTTATTCTATTTTATATTCTTCAACACAGATTCTCTGTGAATAGCCAGTAGTTGCTGATATTACTTAAAAAAAAAAAAAAAAAGCTACTTGTAAAAATAATGTCATTCACCTGACATGGAAAATAAACCACCATAGAATAAACCTGATATAACTGAAGATGTTTTTTTCTAAATACTTTGCTTTAAATACCAATTTAAAAAATCTGGTGAGAAAGTATGAATAGTGGCAAAAAAAGATAAATGGGTACATTCAATGAAAATTTTTATTTCAATTATCCACAAAACAATATAATACTTTATAAAAATATTAAGTTTTAGGCTACCATTATTTATCTTAAAAAGTGTTTGTGCTATAAGGTTGTTTTTGCCAACTTTTTTTTTGGGGGGGCGGGGGGAGGGAAGGGTTAAAAGTTCCACAATAAGATATTGAAGGTGAAAAGGTGTTGGGAGAAAATCCTCAAATATACAAAGCTGGGTATTTTTCTTGGCAAGTGAAAAATACATAACCATTTAAACTGAATACACAGTGAGTTAGTGTTATTTCCTTACTATACAACTGATATTAGAAGGAACAGCTCCATTTAGTCAAAACCAAAGGAATACCATCATCTTTTCCTGGCTTACTTTTCTGAACAGGATTAGTACATAAACATATAATTTTATTACCCTTTTTTAAATGCTAGAAAAATTATACCATAGTTCACATGAGCCCTTTAAAAATCTGATGTCACAGGTTGCAGACATTAAGAGTAAAGGTGACTTGATGGCAGTCTTCACAGGAAGATCCTCTTGGAAGAGGGATTCAATGCTAAGCAGGTTACGTAAACATAAGAAACCACCACAATTTTTAGTACCAGAACTGTTGCCAACTTGCATGAAGGTCATCTGTCACATTTTAAAATGGTTTGAATTTCCACATAGATACCATGGCACAGAATGTTACATTTAATAATCAGGTAAGTGATGGTAGTTAAAAACTGAATTCCTAAAATATGGGGACCTGCTATATTGCTTTATTTAGAGTGTGACTATAAAAGAGTATTTTAAAACATAAATACCAGACTTTTACTTTGTCAGATTCAGTTCCTTTGCTAGATCCTTAGGCCAAGAATGCTGCTATTCAAATTCATATTTTGGAATTCCTTAGTTATAAAAATCAGTCTTATTTTGTGTATTTTACTTCTGTACTTTAAATGAGGAAAAACTGTCCCCCCTTCTCACCACTATTATTCTAAATAAGTTTTCCACTTTAAATCAACTAAATTCTAAAAGGGGAAAAAATTCATCACCATTAAGCATATTTAAAAAGTGAATATAGATTCAAACACAAATGTGAAAACTGGAGTTTTAAAAATGTTTTGCATAAAAGCTGTATCATTGGAATTAGTGGGAAGCCTTAACTTATTTTGAGGCTATAACAGTTATTTAGTGTTTATGGTTAGATTAGTCTTACAGTCATTATCTTACAACTCTTTTAATATCTCAAAAAATAGTTGAGAAGCTTTGAGTGCCAGCAAAGCCATTTTGTCATCCCATAAATCAACATTAAACATAACATTCCATCCCTCTATCTGTAAAACTTTCACATTTTTCTTTTCTCGTATTTCTTTTAAATACAATTCTTCTCTGTTAGTCTATATGCAATAAGGGCAAAAGTGCATTCAAATCCCTGATCTAGTGATATTTTTACATTTGTGGCAGCCATCACACCATAAGTACATATTTAGTAATATCTCATAATACCTATTTAAATTCTGGGATTTACTTTTTCATGCTATTCTAGAGATTGGATATCTTGGATTGGATAGTACAATTTCAATTAAATATTGCCATTAAAAAAATTAATGCAAACTTATAAAAGATTAACTTACTTTGTAGTTCCCTTAATTATTCCAAACTGAGCTTTTCAGAAAATGATTTAAAGTGAAAAAGTTCTACTTTCCAGTTCCACAAGTTTGAATTTTAACAGGTGCACTATACTTTCAAATCCCACTGCTGTCGTCTAACATTTAACCAAGTTAGATGTTGCTTATATTCCTTTTTGCTTCTAAAAAACCTTGCTCATTTCCATGCAAGGAAGGCATATATTAAAACTGCATATTAACTTCAACTTATAGAAAAAACGTTTGAGAATAATGAATGCGAGCAAATTTAAAAAATGGAATGGAATCACTTGGTCCCATTAAGTTCCTTGATTTTTAAAACTTATGGCATAACTGTTCATATCTCCCAAGTTTTATCTATAATGAGAAATAATTTTCTCTTAAAAATTCTGAATTTGGGGAATAAGAAAGGAAGTGACTTATGAACAGTAGCCTTGTTGCTTTCCATTGCCGTGCTATCATTCACACTGTCATCAATATCTTAGCTATACTTTCTTTGGACCCTGAATTAAGTTGAAAAATTCATCACTGGTACTTTAGAGTTTAACATTTGGAACACAAAGAAGTGGTTTTGTGTAACCATATCTGGAATTCCAGTTTACCATTAAAAACATGCGGAGTGAAGAAGATTTTCTTCTTTTGATTCCTGTATGTGAGGAAGTCTACGTAAGTTTTTTACATTCTGGCAGGTTTGTGCATATAAAATAGGCTACTTGGATTATAAATTTTCTCCTGGCTGGTACTGTGGCTCGGTAGCAGTGAAGTAGTCCTCCAAGAAAGATTGGATATATTCAAATGTTGGCCTTTCATCAGGGTCCTTCTTCCAACAAAGATTCATTAAATCATGTAGAGATTCTGGACAGCCCTGAGGGCAAGGCATCCTATATCCTCGTTCCACCTGTTCCAGCACTTCACGGTTTACCATACCTAACACACAAGATTCAAACATTAAAAACCAATGATGCCTTAGACGCATGAACAGACTGTTGAACCTCAGAGGGAAGGCAGGGGAGGGTGGGTGGGAAGAGATCAACCACTGAACTTGTATGCATATATGCATAACCTGTGGACACAGACAATGGGATGGTGAGGGCCTGGTGGGGGGATGGGAGGAGGACAGAAGCAGGCTGGAAGAGGTTAATGGGGGGAAAAGGACGACCTGTGTAATACTTTCAATGATAAAGATTTTTTAAAAAAAGAAAAAAGATACAGACAATAGTGTGGTAAACGTGAGGCTAGAAAGGGTCAATAAGGGAAAGAAAGGGACATCTCTAATACTTTCAACAATAAAGATAAATTAGAAAAAAAAAAAGTTCTGGCCAGTTTTGCTCAGTGGATAGAGCGTCGGCCTGCAGACTGAAGGGTCCTGGGTTCCATTCCAGTCAAGAATACATGCCCAGGTTTTAGGCTTGATCCCCAGTAGGGGGTGTGCAGGAGGCAGCCAATCGATGATTCTCTCTCATCATTAATGTTTCTATCTCTCCCTTCCTCTCTGAAATCAATAAAAATATATTGGGGAAAAAAACAACAACAGAAAAAAAAAAAAACCAATGACGCCAACCACCACTAACATATAATGAACCTATTGTGGTACTCATTTCATAATATATATGTAGATCAAACCATTATGCTGTATGTCTTAAATTTATATAGTGATGATTGTCAGTCATTTCTCAATAAAACTGGGGGGGGAGGGGGAGAGAATAAAATAAATCCCCTAGCCACAAAATGATTCAAAGTATAGTAAGTTTACTTAGTGAAATTATTATTTTATTATTTTTAAATATATTTTTATTGATTTCAGAGAGGAAGGGAGGGGGAGGGAGGGGGGAAGAGAGAGGGGGGGAGAGAGAGAGAGAGAGAGAGAGAGAGAGAGAGAAACATCAACAATGAGAATCATTGATCAGCTGCCTCCTGCACGCCGCCCACTGGGGGTCGAGCACACAACATGGGCATGTGCCCTTAACTGGAATCAAACCCATGACCCTTCAGTCTGCAGGCCGATGCTCCATCCACTGAGCCAAACCAGCTAGGGCTGAAATTAATTTAACAAAGAAATAGATTTTCTATGTCAAAGTATATCAAAAAGACCTTAGAAAATGCTAGGCTGTTTCAGAAGATCTAGTTTTTTTCATTCCACAGTAAACCTTACTTTCAACACTAAAGCCTTTAAAAGCCAATCCCAACTGATTAATGAAAATTTAGGGTGGTACTTTGTGGTTCTGATATTAAGTTATTAATTACCAAACGTGGGCTAATAAGGAACAGTGAGCAGTAAGATAGTGTCTAAAAGAACTTTCAGATAGAAATTCAGAAGAAGTGTTTTAGTCCTGGTTTTGCCAAGTACACTTACTATGTAACTTTGTATCAAGTCACTTTCCTGTAACAGTTTCTTTATCTAACAACACCTGTTTAACCTTCTTTAAGTTATTACACAGTTCCTTTCTTGTATTCCTTTGTACACGGAATCCACAGCTCACCCTGTGTTACCACAACTTGTAAGAGAGGGGCTTGGAGAGGGAGGTTGGGGAGGGCAAGATGAGCCAGGGTATTTAAGATATGTTTATTATCTGAGAGAACAGTAGAGATAAATAGCCCTTTTGGAAAATGCCCTAAGAGAGAAAGTTGAAGTCAAAGGGGGCAAACCTCATGTGCTTGCCCTATCTCAAGGATTGTGACTCTCACAGGTTGCTGTCCATCCAATGCCAAAATAAAGAGAGAGAGGGAGAGAAAAAGAGAGAAAGAGACAATGAGAGAAGAAAAAAAAGGCCTTCGCCCTTACATTCTGCTCCTAATAATCTCCAATTAAAGTCACTAATGGGATAAACAAGAGCTAGTAAAATGCAAGCTTACCTGGATATGGCACTCTGCCCTTTGTTACCAGTTCTGTCTGTAGAATTCCAAATGACCACACATCAGACTTTATTGTAAATCGACCATACAGTGCAGCCTCAGGAGCTGTCCATTTGATTGGAAATTTTGCACCTAAAACAATATGACATCTTGCTTAAGTAAATTGTTTTAAAAATCTGTTTGTGTAAATAATGGCATAAGGAGGGCTAACTTTCTTTCTGTCACTATCTTTATTGTATATGTCATCAGATTTAAATTCTTCGAAAGTGCAAGATACACGGGAAACATTTTTTTAAATATTTAAAATGTGGAATCTAATGAACAAAATAAACTGATGAACAAAATAGATCCAGAGACATTGAAGCATACAAATGACTGATGAATTTCGGGGGTGGGGCTGGGGGAAAAGTTAAACCAAAGAACTTATATGCATATATGCATAACCCATGGACAGACAACAGTTTGGGGAAGGCCTGGGGAGGGGAGGGGGTGGGGGTGGAGAGGATCAATAGAGGAAAAAATACTTTCAACAATGAAGACAGATTTTTTAAAAAACAACAACAACAATAAAACATGTATTATAGCCCTGGCCATTGTGGCTCAGTTGGTTGGAGCATCATCCCATACACTGAAAGGTCATGTGTTTGATTCGCAGTCAAGGCACATATCCAGGTTTCTGGTTCAATCCCCTCTCAGGGTGCATGTGGGAGGCAGCCGACTGATGTGTTTTTTTCTCTCTCTCTCTCTCTCTGGAATCAATGGAAACATATCCTTGGGTGAAGATGAAAAACAAACAAAAAATAAAAACAAACCGTGTATTATAGGACCAGTAACTTTTAAGTATGTCTATCACCTAATAGCTATAGCTCATCATTGGTTGAAGAAGGCATATTCTGTTGGGTTCTAATGTCTACTGGTTTTTTACCATAATCTCTTTTTCATTTTATGAAATCTCTCTGGAAAATTTTATTGTACTATAATTTTTAAAAGTCTGTATTAATTAATTCAAATATTTATTGTATGCTTTTTATGCACAAGACATTATGGTAATTGTTATGGGAGAGAAAAGCATAGCCTTCATGTAGCTTATATACTTACTGAAGGCCCGGTGCATGTAATTCGTGCACGGGTGGAGTCCCTAGCCTGGCCGGCAATCAGGGCTGATCGAGGCCTGCAGGCTGGGGGAAAGAACGTAGAGGGGGGAACATGGGAGGCTGGCCACCAGCCACTGGGGCCTCACAGCTGGGGGAGGGACAACAGGAGGTTGGCCAGCCAGGGGAAGTTGGCTGTGGGAGTGCACTGATCACCAGGTGGCAGCTCCTGCATTGAGCGTCTGTCCTCTGGTGGTCAGAGCATGTCAAAGTGACCGGTCGTTCCAGTCACTTAGGCTTTTATATATATAGATAGGGCGACAATAGGTGTTTTACATACCTCAGGTTATTTCTATATATATGTATATAGTTTATAAAATAGTTCTTTAGTGTCAAACAGAGATCAATTTCACTAGCACATCACAAAGGTTCATCAGAAGAGCAACTGCCTGCAAGTAGCTCATGTAGAGCGTGTCGCAACTGCGCTCAGAGCACATGCGGCTCAGGAGCCACATGCGGCTCTTTGACCCCTTGAGTGTGGCTCTTCCACAAAATACCACGTGCAGGCGCGCATGTACAGTGCAACTGAAACTTCGTGGCCCATGTGCAGAAGTCGGTATTTTGTGGAAGAGCCGGTGTTTTGTGGAAGAGCCACACTCAAGGGGCCAAAAAGCCGCATGTGGCTCGCGAGCCGCAGTTTGCCAACCACTGGGTTAGAGCATCAGCCCACGCACTGAAGGGTCTCGGGCTCAATTCCTGTCAAAGGCACATACCTGCATTGCAGGTTCAATTCCCAATTCCTGGTCGGGTATCGTGTGGGAGGCAATCAATGTGTCTTTTTCATATCAACGTTTCTCTCTCTCTCTCTTTTTCTCCCTTCACTCCCCCCATCCACTCTCTCTAAAATAAATCAATGAAAAAAAAATCCTCAGGTGAGGATTAACAAACAAAATAATGATAATTTTACCTTGTCTTGCTGTATATTCATTGTCTTCGATTAACCTTGCTAAACCAAAATCTGCTATTTTGCACACAAGATTTTCCCCTACAAGAATATTAGCAGCCCGAAGATCTCGGTGAATATAGTTCATTCTTTCAATATATGCCATACCATCAGCAATCTTGGAAAGAGAAAAATAAAAAGACACATGATACAAAGGAAAGGAGGGATAAAACAATTTTGGTTAGTATTTAAGTTAGATCACTGAAAAATCATATATCTAGAAAGGAGATAAAAGGGCATAATTTTGCAGATAATAAGAAAAATAGAAAACACTATAATTGAGAAGGAAGACAGGGAAGGAGAATGGGAGACTGGGGAGGAAAGGAGGGAAAGGGAAGGAGGACAGGAGAGGAGGAGGAAGGGAAGGAGAAACAACAGGGATGTATGTGGCCCACAAAGCCTAAAACATTTATTTGGCTCTTTTCAAAAACAGTTTGCCAACCTCTACTGTAGAAAGTCCAAGAGCCTTGAACTCAGGGGTGTGAACTAGGTGTGGCATATGCTAATGTTTCACAAGACAGTTTCTTAGAATAAAAAGTTTCCCTAAACTTCATCAGATATTTGAGATTTCCAAAAGTACTATTTCCTTACGAATAGCTATCATTCACTGTCTAAAAATGTATCTGTTAAAATATAAATACATACAGCCCTGGCCAAGTGGTTCATTTGGTTGGAGCATACCTTACACCAAAAGGTTGTGTGTTCGACTCCTGGTCAGGGCACATACCCAGGTTGTGTGTTCAATCCCTGGTTGGGGCGTGTATGGGAGGCAACCGATAGATGTTTCTCACAACGGTATTTCCTTCTCCCCATTTCTCTAAAATCATTAAAAACAAACAAAAACACATCCTTGGGTGAGGATTAAAAAAATATATAGAGATTTTATATTTGTGGATGCAGTATGTTTCTGAAAGGCCATATGATTCAGGACAGAAGTGTTATGGTAGGTACATACCTGGTTCTAATACTAATACTACCTGAATTTTAAATAGTTCTGGTCTTCAGATACAACATTATCTATAATTAAATTATCTATAACTAGGAATCAGACTGGATTATCTCTAACTAGAGGTGCACAAATTCATGCACGAGTGGGGTCCAGCCAGCCCGCCCCGATCTGGCCAATTGGGCTTGGTCAGCTGTGGGGAGGGGCCACAGGCAGTTGGCCGCCAGCCCCGCCCCCTGGTTGAACTCCTGGTGGAGGGAACAATTTGCATATTAGCCTTTTATTATATAGGATATCTCTTCCAGCTCTTAAATTTCATGATTTCATTATACAAACAATAGCATTCCATTAAAATTATTTTACATGTTTAGTGCACACTTTCGATTCAAATGGATGATACAGGTATAATATACAAGTACCTGAGCAGCCATATCAACCAATTGTGGGAGCTTCAAATATTTTCCATCTCCTTCCTTCAGAAAATCTAATAAGCTCCCTATAAAAGACAGCAAGACATTCATGGAAAATAAGCAAATAAATCACATCATAATACAAAAACTTCAGCTTTTCATTCTTTAACATTTTTTTGTAGCTTGAAATTACTGAATAACTATCTTTAAGACTCTAGAGGCCCTAAACTGAAATTTTATAAAATTTTCTTGATAACGTAAAAAAAAGGAAAATGAGATAATCTCACCAAATTATAGGCAGTCCTTCCTTGCTTTGATCAAGATCAACAGTTCCAATTTTGATTCAAAAAGCAGTATCCTTACATATTTTTAAGTCAGTCAGAATTAAGAACTAAAGACAACTGGGAATATCTTGGGGTACTTAATAGTAAATCTAGGTGGCTCAGTTGATGTGGAAGTGTTAGTCCAACTGACTTCTCTCAATTTCAGCAGAAGATATGGAACAGCAAAGTATTATGAATAACAGCAGAGAGAAAGGCTAGAAATGAAAAGTCTAGCTGCTATTCCTCTATTACTGGTTTCAAATATACCATTAGCTCAATTTAATCAGGAGAAAATATCAGATACACCTAAATTAAGACACATTTTATAAAACAATGGTACCATTCTCTTAAAAAAAAATGTTATGAAAGACAGGATGAGGTACTCTCCAGATTAAAGACCAAAGAAAAATTACAACTAAAAGAAATTGGTGACTATGGATTAGACCAGTGGTCGGCAAACTGCGGCTCGCGAGCCACATGCGGCTCTTTGGCCCCTTGAGTGTGGCTCTTCCTAAGCCTTAGGAGTACCCCAATTAAGTTAATAACAATGTACCTACCTATATAGTTTAAGTTTTAAAAAGTTGGCTCTCAAAAGAAATTTCAATCATAGTACTGTTGATATTTGGCTCTGTTGACTTATGAGTTTGCCGACCACTGGTCTAACCCATAAAGACAGAACCTAAGGTGTGACCTCTCCTTGGGGATCTTCTCTGCCTCTTTCCCTCTTCCTTAGCATTCCCTTTCTTCTCCTCTCCCCACTCTTCCCTGGATGGCAGATGATGTAGAGTTGGGACCACTCTAGCCTGGAGCGTGGAGGAAAGTGCTAGTGATGAGGGCTTGGGCAGGACGCCTCTCACAGCAATCTCAGGGAATGGTAGCTTTTCTGTTTCTCCCCTCTTTCGCTTAGAGGGGGTTCAGTTCCTGAACAATATTTACAACTTCTCCCCTCACTCCCTCCTTCTGGGTTCCTTCTTCCCACTTTCTACTGCCCTAAGTCAGGGCATGTACGCCATCTCTGCAGAAGAGAGTATAACTAGAACATGCTGCCTGAGGAGACTAAAGTTAAGGATAGAGAAGTCTTCCTCACTTATCAGTACCTTCTTTTTTTTTTTTTTTTTAAATATATTTTATTGATTTTTTACAGAGAGGAAGGGAGAGAGATAGAGAGCTAGAAACATCGATGAGAGAGAAACATCGATCAGCTGCCTCCTGCACACTCCTTAGTGGGTATGTGCCCGCAACCCAGATACATGCCCCTGACCAGAATCGAACCTGGGACCTTTCAGTTCGCAGGCCGACGCTCCATCCACTGAGCCAAACCGGATTTGGCATCAGTACCTTCTTAAAGGAGGGTTTATTATTATTATTATTTTAAGAAGAAAAGCAA